AAAGATAAGATCTTTCTCCAAGATGCAGTACTGTATTTTTTTAAGTGCCAGTTAAAGGGGGAGACTTTTAACAACAGAGGTATGGACTGTTTCACTTACAAATATTTTTTTTTTTTTTTGTCCTGAACCAAAATGAAGAGGAGTCTGCATTGCCCAGAGTTGCATTTGGGGTCTTCAGCAAGAGCTTAGCTGTTTTACCAATCCGGAGACACATATTAATAAGGAGAAAGCACATGTCATTTCCCTGTAAGTGTTGCAGTTTTAATACCTTCCCACTGAAAAGCATAAGGAGAATAAATCTAATAAAGAGACTATATAGGAATTGTCTGCTGTGGTCTTAGGAACATTTTTTTATATAATCATGTCTGCCTGGACTCGATATACAATGCAGTGGAATCCAAATGCTGTAGCTTTTAAATATTTGAAATATTTAAATTGTTTCCTTTCTGCTAGAGTTTAATTAACATAATATTCTTCTGTAAAAGAGATGATTCTTACACATACTACTCCTTTAAAGCAGATGGCAGTAACTGCTGCAACACAGTGTTTGCTGGCAAAGCAAACACTGAACTGCCCCCACCAGTCAACAGGGATAGGGTATTAGTTCCTTGGGCTGTCTTGCTACTTGCAATGGGAAACATATCTTGTTACAACAAGGCACAAGTTAATTTAAGCAGTCACAATAACACAGTTGCTGCACCACATCAGACAAACTGAAAAGAATCCTGCTGGTTGTTCAAAAGGCCAGAAGTAGAGTAGAATTCATGGTTATTCTGTTTCTGGCAAATCTCTACCTGTGTCACAACTATAATTTTCACCACATCAGACTTCTCTGTCATAACCAAAGTATTATTACTAATAAATGGGAATAGGACATGGATTATAGGTTGGGGAAACTTCTGTTTACAAAACATGTGCATTCAGAGTTCTCAATATAAGGAAAAAATAGCCACATCTACAGGAAAAGAAAATCGACAGATTTAATCATATGTTTCCAAATCTGAACTCGGCATGAAGATTTAAAAAAGAAGTAGTAACTTCTCATACCACAATTCAGAGTACATAAAACAACCTCTGCATTATTGTTGGAACTGAACCTCCCAAAGCGCTTAACTTTCAGTGACCTTGTCCTACGAACATCTCTTTAATATGGCGCGTGCTAAAAATAATACAGTTATAGTAGCAAGGACTTACCTAAAATAAGAGAGGCCGTTAAGAGACATTCTTTAAGCCCTCTGTTAAATGACACAAACTGCTGTGGGAGCTTGTAAGCCCACCTGGTCAGCAAGCATTAGTTAAGAAGGAAAAACAACTTAAAAAAGAAACCCTTTGAATTCATGAACCAAAATAAAATTTTAGATACCAAAGAGAATTTAAAAGTGTGAAAAAGTCTTATTATACCAGAAATCAATAACATAGTAGCTATGTTATTGATATAACAATATATCCTGCAATATAATCAAAAGTCATGAAAAGGTAACATAGTAGCTAGTACCTCCTGCAATATAATCAAAAGTCATGAAAAGGGCTATCATTGATACAAGGGATGATTTATTGCAAGGACAGAGGAATGTCATCTCAAGCAACAAGTACCTGACCTAAATTTATTCTTTGAAAGAGCAAAGCAGAGTACCTGCAGCTAGCAAGGCTACAACTTCTAAGGACGATGCTATTTTATAATAGCCCTTTTTACATTTAGTTCTGTCTTCATTAAAATGATTCACTGGTACTATTTAAGATAGGTCTGTTTTTCACTGGTACTATTTAAGATAGGTCTGTTTATATGTTTGTGTATGTGTGCACATACATGGGTTGCGAAAGGAAATTTGTGCAACAAAGGTTAAAGAAGCTTTTCGCTTTAACCTGACGTTCATTTAAAGTACATTACAGCTGATCTTTAAGCTTATCTCACTCTCCCTTTATAAAGTTGGAGTTATTTAGTATGATTATGGTACCAGGTAATTTACATATACAGTATTCTTCTAGACTAAATCGCAGACTGTCATCCTGTATCAGGATGATGTGTCATGCATCAAGAGTGTCAAGGACAGTACGGTCTGCCATTTGTAGAAATAATCTCAGTATCCTCAAAACGAACAGTCATGTTTACTTTACAGGATGTCAGTTGTTCTACGTTCTCCTTCACTGCGCAGCAGCATTCACTGTTCCTTTGGGTATCTTGACTGGTGTCACAAACAGTTCAGCAAAGCGTACAATAACAGTTACAGCACTCACCTGGGGGTGAGGGTGGCAGAGATCTAAACATAGACTTTCAGTAACCAAAAGGTAGCTATGGAGAAGATGGGGTTACTTTCTTCACAAGGATGCATGGTGACAGGACAAGAGGTGATGGACACAAATTGCTTCTAGGAAAACTCTGTCTGGATGCAAGACAAAATGATTAACACTGAGAACAGTTACACATTGGAGTAGGCTGCCCAGAGAAGTGATGGAATCTCCCTTGCTGGAAATATCCAAGTCTCAGCTTGACAGGACCCTGGATAACCTCTTGTAAGACCCTGCTTTCAACAGCAGTTTGGACCTGATGATCTCACTTTTCTGTGATTCCTTCCTTATCATTGCCTATAGCACATAAATTTTGCCCTAGAAAGTGAGCTTTGTGTGATCTTTTCAAAAGCACCTAAAAGCAGAATTTGAACCCAAGAAAGCTATGTTACATGTAAGAATAGGTCTGAAAGCTTTTGATTGCACAACTTCTCTCTCCATAGGACAGCTAACAGATGGAGTGATCATCTGGCCTTGAAAGACTCTATTATGTACCTGATCTCTCATTCCTTTAAACACCTCTGAGTTCCTTCATAGTCACAAGTCATTAATCCTTTTATTGTTGTAGATGGTACAATATGAATGAGTTATACTGAAGAAGTAACAGAGACAAGTCAAGGCACCATACAAACACACAGGAAGTACAATTTTAGTATCATCTGCCATTTCTTTCCAGTATCTTTGAAAATAAATAAATTTGTTCAGTATTCTTGGTGAGCATAACAGTATGTATGCCATTTTTATGGAAGGAGCCACCAGTCCTGCGTTCCCATGCAAGAAAATCCTGTCAGCACAACTAATGGATGTCAAATGAATAAGCTTAGAAGAGCAAACAAGTGCACTGTCAAAACCATGTCATCAACCCACAGGCCCATTCGTAGTGATATTATACACTCCACTGCCTCCAGCCACAGCCCAGGATAATCAGAATCTACATTCAGAGTCATCTGATCTTGCAAAATTGACACAGCATAGCTAATAATCCACCAGAATTCAGAAATTATACTGGATTTAAAAAGGCAGCTTTACTTTCATGCCTTGCATTTGAGGCAGATTAAATAAATCGAACAGGCAAGGCTATCAGGTCATTATTTGTATGTTACAGCTGTCCAGTTAGAGTTGACAGACACTCTTTGCGTGGCCTGTTGACTGATTAAGAGGCAGAGTAAGTCTCTGGGAGTCATAAATGGACAGGGGCGGGGGGAAGTTTGTGATAAAGAAAAAAAATCAAAGGCTGATGGAGTAACTCACAAGAAATAGTTGCACTTCTATACAGGCCACAGATACCATTGGGAAAAAAAAAAAAACCACAGAAAGGAAACTGGATGAGCACATTACAGATTTGAAGTGGGAATCAGAACAAAGTGTTACTGTTCTACATCAGAAAACTGGACTGGATCTTCTGCAAGGTGAAGAACAAGGAAAGCAGAATGAAAGGTGAGATACTGAAGCATTCAGATTAATAATGAAATTTTTCTGTTCTCTGAGCATTTCCTTGCCAAGCAGTGTTTATTTTAACTCTATATTGGAAGCTGTGTCTCTGTTTCTGAAGCCAACTGTTGCAGAACAATGTGATGAACTGAAAGTATTGCTTACCTTGCTTGCAAGAATGCTGAATTCTTTCAAGTGAATTCTACAATGTAGTATTCAGTATTGCAGGTATTCCCTTTTACTAATTAATGTTTGATCTCTGTAAGTCAATAAGCAGTATGTCCTTCAATTTCCAAAGGTTTCAAGAAGTAACTAACCAAAATGTTTTTCATTTTGAAATACTAAATAGTAAAAATAATTTGAGGCATCTCAAAAACAATGCTACAAAAGGATTGGACAAAGAAAATCTAATTATTCAACATCATCTGATAATTTTTTTTTTATTTCATGCTGTGCATATGAACATAGCTTTAAGTGGCACCTTGTTTTCAAAGTAATATCATTAGTAAGATATGAAAGGTAAAAACTATTACTTTTTCAGTTAAAACTGACCTGAACATCATGGAGCAGAAGATAATTATAAATACTAAATATTACTAAGTACTCCTGTCAACTCATTTATCTTTTTAACAGCTTCTTGACAAATGTTTGCTGATTGTGTAGAAACTTTTATCTATGGGAAGTACAGCTGGCATTGAGATAAGAGAATTAAAGCAGTAAGTATAAACATAGATATTTTAAAGAACAAACTTACAGAATCTGGATTGCTGAAAAAGTACTGTTAACTGTTTTTATAGCAATGTCTTTGAAGCTCGTTATTCTTTTGACGGCACATTAACTTAATTCTTTTTAGGTAGTACAATTAGTAAAAACACAGAAAAAGAAAAGTTCTACTTGCAATTCTTCTGACACAAGATGGCTCAAAGTTGTTACTACCACTGAAAGAAAAACATTCCAGTTTGATAATTTTAGAAACTGTGTCTCATTCCTTTCAAACATCACTGCTAAAAAAAAAGCTGAAAACCATTTGTACTTAAGATAAAGCCATGGGAAGTACTTCATTTTAAGACCATGGAAGCACTAAATTAATTCTGCATTATAAAAGTACTTCAATACTATCCGTAATTTACTAATGTATTGTAAAAGAAAATAACTGGTTTTATGCTATCTACATTAATGTTTATTATGGGGCTATATATCCTTTGCCCATGTTAATGACTTGTATATTGCCAAAAGACAAACATTTTAAACTAATTTGAAATCTTCTTTCACTTGTGATACAGGTAATTGGCTTTTGGTTTTGAGTGTCTTCTTGTTAATATATGCAGCTCATGGATGTCCCGACAAATGCCTATGCTATACAGCTTCAAAGACTGCAGACTGCAAGAATAGAGGATTTACTGAAATTCCCGCCCGTTTACCTCCTGAAATTCAGATACTACAGTTGCAGAATAACCGTATTTGGAGAATCAACCAAAATGCATTCACTGGAACACCCTTGCTCAAAATCTTAGACTTGTCTAATAATTCTCTCTCGAGTTTGGCACCAGGTGCTTTCCAAAAATTACGGTATCTACAGGTTCTAAACCTAACCAGAAATTTGATTCATTTTATAGAAAACAAGACTTTCAGTTTCCTCCCACACCTAAAAGAACTGGACTTGTCATCCAACAGCATTATACGTTTGCCTGAGACTTTTGGAAACAGCACAGGGAATATAACGTTGCTGTCTGTGAAGCATAACAAACTTCAGAAAATGGAAAGAGTTCTGCTGGAGTCACTTCCAAACCTGAAAGTGGTTCTTTTCAAAGATAATCCCTGGCAATGTAATTGTAATGTCTTTGGTCTGAAACTGTGGCTGGAGAGCTTTTTATACAGAGGTAAGGAATTCTTCTCATTACATACAACGCACATGAGAACACTTAACCAGCATCTGACCTTCACTACTATGGCTTAAAAATTTACCCCACACCTTAGATCATCCCCTCAAATAAGCACACTAAAATATATTCTTATGCATAGGTTAGAATATAGGTGCTTTCATAAATAGAAGTGGCAAACTAGAATCATAGAGGAACTTCATATTAGCACAAAGAGAAAGAGAGAAAGTATACACACACAATCATATAGTATGTACAGATACATTCTGGAAATACATATGTGTAGTGTGTATATGCATATATATCCATATATATATACACACACATATATATAACAAGTATACTTGTGCATATACACTTGCTTTAATTCTACTAATATATTTTTGCTAGAAAGCAACTTACTGTTTAAAAGCTTTTTACCTGATGCATGAAGGTAAATATCAAGACAGATATCAATAAAAATTTAACTTTAGAGAACTCAGGATTCTAATTCCTCTATAAATTATCACTTAGTAGCTCTTCAATACTTTAAGAATACTTTACCTAAAAATGTATATTACACCTTGGACAAGTTTACTCCTGCCCAGTATTGCTTCCTAATTTGTTGCTAACCAGAAGAGGTACTAAATTCATTGACAATTTCCTGACAGAAATGTGTAATGCCATCACATGGGGAAGACTGAATTTTATAAATAAAAGTAGCCTCGTATTTTGGTCACACCTGCTTTTAAATATATTCATGAGTTATGCTGTAGAAAAGAGAATATGATTTAATTCTAAAGAAATTAAGTACTAAAAGAAATTAATTTCTTTCTCCCAGGAGGTATGTTCAGACTCTGAGAATTCAGAACAGCAGGGCAATTTGCTTTTGTCTAAATCAGGCTTTGATGCTTGCATGTGATCAAACTACTAGTTACCTACCTGTATATGGAAGTGACATAGAGCATGTTGCAACACAGGCACATGTGAAGATGGTCCACATTGCCTGTGATTGAATGGACTGCCATTTTCAGGCATCAGAACTTTACAGGCCAGCTGGAAAACCGTACTGGCTATGCAGGGACACAATTAATATAGGAATAGTCTCTGGGTGAGGTAAAGCCACTGCCAGAAGCAACCTTTTAGAAAAGACAAAAGGCTAAAGTCCTCTCAGGGTTAAAATCTTAATATTTTGGATTGGTAAAATACTACCTTAACCCAGGGCTTTAGTTGTATTATGCTGGAATCATTCCCTTCAACAAATTTCAGCAGCGGTTCTGATTTCTCTGTGCAAAAGAATATAATGATCCAAGATAAACATATCAGATGATCTTAATTATTCTGCCAGCAGCATAAGTATTGTAATTCATTTCAAAAACCAACGCTGTTTAGAAATTCAGTGATGCCCCTCCATCTTTCCGAACATTGCACAGATTACTTTAATGAAGTGATATGGAAGTTACAAATTCATTTTAGCAACAAGTTTTAAACCAAGCCCAAATACTGTGTTCTCTTCTACGTTTATATTTCCCTAAACTTACTTGTGTGAATCCATGAAGAAAAATTAGTTACGCTGCACATTAATATTTCCCATTACTTATATTGTATACTTATGATAAAATAGTACTGTGGCTCTACAGATATTTCTTGCAAGTCCTAACAAAACATTGCTAGAGATGGAACATTGTCTGAATTTAAAAGTATTGACTGTTGTGTCCAATATAACTCTAATTTCAGTATTTTTAGCTGAATCCAGCTCAGGCAATTGACATTCGATGCATACTCGTAAACAATTCTAGAGAATGCTTCAGTTCAGGTGGGACTCCAGTCTTGTATTCCAAGCACACATATTTAGTTACTTAAAACCATAGTAGGAACACAGTTGCAGAATTTGGAGTTTTATCTATACCCACGTTCAAACTAACACATTGGAGGTGTCTGGAACCACGCTTTGGGTTTGGCTATTAAAGACCAAGAGACAAGTTCATATCTGTCTTGGAATACCATCAATATTTGTGTAGTAGTCTCCAGATGTCAGTTTAGGTCCATCTGTATTCACTACTTTCTCAGACAAAGTCTTTTCAGGATGAAAATTTCTATGCCTGGTTTTACCTGAAAGGTGGATTATTTTGGATAGAGAAGAGGAAGAAAATTCAGCTAATTTGATTAGTCAATTTTTAAAAATATGTAAACATTGGTTTTGGCCTTGTTGACTCCTTGACACACTACACCCCTAAAGCCGTGGTGTATGGACTAATTAGAAACCTGAAGGCTACGCTCGGTATGTGTTCCTCTACATGCTGAGGAACAACTGCATGATGTACCAGGACTTGGGCTTCCTACTTCACTTCCTGTTATACTAAAAACATCCTTTGGGAGAGAGCAGAAGCTGGCTCTAAGCAATCATGAAATTTACCATTGGAGCAGGGTAATAGATTGATTAATCTTAACTCCTGTAGATCTCCTTATATTTTCTTATCATAAACCTTGCTTCAAAAAATTACTCATGTATACATAAAACTTACTGAACTTGCTCTTTGCTTCATTACAGTTAACATATGATGTCAGAACAATGACTATTTCATGGAATATTTCAATCGAGTGGGAACTCTTTATTAAGTATATTGTTTCCATTTCTTATTATAAAAAGAAGTAATGGTATGAATTTGAATGGAATGAATTTGCTGTTAACAATACCTCTTTGTTTTCAGCTGTGACTTAGTTCTTACTTTTATACCACTGTTGTTTTTCACTTTTACATCCATAAGATCATAGATAACTTAATTCCTGATGAATTGCTTCTTGCAAATACTGTCTTATATGAGTGTTAAAGTGTAATAATCTCACCATTGATCTAACTGGAAAAAGATCTTAAAGATATAGTTAGAAATCTTTAAAAGTATAAAGTCAAAGCTGATGATAAATTTACCTCAGGTTTCTGTTAATTTTACATTAAGATAGTTCAGAAATGACCAAATCTTAAGACCATAAATCTGTTTTTTTACAGGAGGAATAAGTGACGGCATTATCTGCTCAACACCAGGCATTCGGAAGGGAAAGGACCTCCTCAAAGTTCCCTATGAGCTGTTTGGGGCGTGCCCTCTAGCGACAGCTCACGTTCATCTGGCTAGCATTCACCACCATAGCGTTGAGCACAGAAGTTCTCTGAAGCATGCCCATCACAATGAACACGGGGAAAACAGCCGTTCAAACTGTGAACCCAAACCAAAGCCAAGGCCTGTTAGTTTGCGTCATGCAATTGCCACTGTAGTAATAACTGGAGTTGTCTGTGGAATTGTGTGTCTAATGATGTTGGCAGCTGCTGTTTATGGTTGTGCCTATGCTGCAATTACTGCTAAATACCACAGAGAACATTTGGCCCCGGTCAGACAGCATGGGACTCCCGAGGAAAAAGAGCCATTTGATAGTTCCTTGGCTTGAGTTACTTCTGTCTTTGGTTTCTTGAAAATAAAGCCCTCACTTCAGTTGAAAAACTTGGAATCTAAATAGGATTGATTTAATAGTAATTACTACTTTTTTTTTTTTTTGCTTTTTCACATAATTTTAAAAAATGTAAATATATATATTCTTTGGAATATATATTAAGACTTTATGTAGAAGAATGTAAGTTTATTTATATTTTGTGTATGTCTATTCTGAAGCCATTATTTAAGGCTGAGTGAGATAATGAAATCTTGATGTAGCCACCTTAAAGTATTCCACTTTCCATTACTAGCTCTTGATGTAATATTAGTACAGCCTATGAGTGATGGTGCAGCTACAGCCAGTAGCCGACATGAGTGAGCTTTCTGCAAAGAAAAATACAAAATAGCTACAAATGACTGACTATATTTTAAGATCTTAGAATACCTGGTATGTATACAGAAATACAATTCACAACCAGTTTTAGAACCTGCCAGTCTATTCACTGCCACTGATAACTTAAACGTGTGTTAAAAACATTTCCAAATACAATTTTTCCACCTTCCAATCTGCCCTAGAAGACAACAATTAAACATTACATCCGTTACCTAACTCAAAAAATAGGAAGTACCTTGTTAACTATCACATATCATTTTAAAATTACTTAGTAGGGAAGAAGGAAGAGAGCTGAGAAAATGCTGAGGAAAAAAGAAATGCTACACTGTTTCCGATACAAGAATGGAAATGAGCACATATTGCATATATGAAGAGACACTACCCGTTATCCTACTGGCATACATGCTTGCTACAGGCATTTCTGAAGCTTCTTATTCCCAAATCCACACACACTGTTCCATTTTGCAAATATCATGACTGCAGATGCAGGTCCCGTCACAGTGCTGCCCTTCAGTACAGAGGATAATATGGTTGCATGTTTACACGTTCTCTCTCACAGAAAGAACATTCAGCTGAATTCATTCAAGGGTCCACCCTAACTTTCTGCAGAGCAGTTTTGCCATCAGAGGAAATCAGAGCCAAAACCATTTGAGTAATACAAGTTTAGGACAGAAAGAATATTTTGAATGTTAAGAAGTATTTTTTTAAATAATTCTTAGAAATTATTTTAAGGCAACCAACAGAGATCAGCAACTCCATCTACCTTTTCCAAGACTAGATAAAATACATCTAGGCTATTTGTGACAGATGTCTAATGTGTTTTCTGAATCTCTCCAGTGACAGGGTTGAAGACCTGTCTAAGTAGCTAATGCAGAAATCAACTATGCTTATAGTCTAAGAGCTTTTCTTAGCATCTATCCTAAACCTTTGGTGAAAATCTTGCCAGTTTATTCCATTGGGCAGAAGACTTGAGGACAATGGTTGAGTAACAGTCTGCAATAAGGGCAAAAGGAAGCTGTGTCATGGCATTCAGAGACCTCCACTCTCCTTCCAACAGATGGATTCCAAGACCAAGTTCTGAGGCTGTTCTAAAAACAGCCTCAAATGAGTAATAGGCTATATAGCAGAAGTCATGTAGCCCTTGCTCTTATCTACTTAGTAATAATTGTAACCTAAATAGTAAAGCTCATTCCTGCATCTGCAGTTACTTTCATGTCCAGAGAAAATTAAGCATCTCAGTCTTAACCTAAATCTAGCAGACACTGAAAACAATCAATTACTGTCTGTCCTTTTTTTTTTTTTTTTTTTTTTTAACTGCTAAGTACTTTATATTATTAGGCTCTCTTCACTCTTCTCTGTCCTGAACTAAATAAACCAAGCTGTTTCAAAGTTTCCTGTAAGGCCACATTCTCCAAACTTTTTTTTCCCTGCATTCCCTGGAACCTTTTCAGTTCTTCTACATTTGTTTAAAATTTGGTACCCTAGATTGGGCATATTACTTCAGCTGAGACATCATCGGCACAGAATTTTTAGAATATTTATATTCAGGCTCTTTAAATCTGATCTCTTGATGATGTATCTCAGAAGCAAGTTTGCTTTTTTTCCTTTTAAATATTCAGTAAAGCTTAATGAATAATCTATTTTCAGAGCTAAGTCATTTGAGTGTGTAGATCTACATTTTGTACTCTTTTATCCATTTATTGCAATAACATTTTACAAAGCGACACAGTTTTTCAGATAGAGAAGACTGAAGTAATACAGGATAGGATCTTATTGCCCATGGGCCAAAAGATGAGTTCAGAGCCACATCAAATCAGTGCTTTTCTACGGTGACAACCTAAAACAAGCACACTTGCACTCAAACTGCAGATCCTAAGATGAAAGCTAATAAACCTCTGACCTCCAGAGAGATTTCACCCACCGTGTTTCTAATAAACTCAAGTACAGCAATGCAGCTTCCATCACAAATAAATTCACACTTCTGATATCTTCAACCAAAGGAAAAACAAGAACTGACTTGATATTTCCTAGTCAGGAATAACCAAAATATCTTCCTAGTCCTTATAAAACAGTTCTATCAACAAAAACCTTTCAGGCTTTCCTTACTGTAAGACTTTTAAAAAAACCAAACAAACAAAAACAAAAAACAAACAAACAAAAAAAAACAGAAAAAGGTGAGGAAGAGGCAATGAAGGGCACAACAACATTTAAAGAAACTCTTTCCAAGTCACATTTAAGATGCTTTGGGGATTTTCATGCACACATAAGGCTGTAAATTGATATGGAGTTCTGCCAGAAAGCGAAGTATTTCATATTTCCATTAGTTCACTCTGCTATGGGATTAGAACAAGCCAATCCATACAAAATCTGATTTATACTTTCTAACTTGCTGTTTGCTAAAGAAAGAAAAAAAAAAACCCACAACAAAAATCGTAACAAAAAATCCCAGAGAAATTTTTCGTTTACGGTTTACAAGACTATATATAATATTTATAAATATGTTTGCAATTAATGAATTCCAGTTATTTATGATGATAAGCTAATAGTAGACATTCAACAGACAGAAGTATTGATTCAATTGCTTAAGTGAATAAATGAAAAATTATTTATTTTTCAGTAGAGGAAACAGAATGTTTGACTACTGAGAAACAGAGATAAAAGGCACAATTTATTGTCCATAACAATTATTGACTACAACAAGTGGAAGACTGCATCTAGCAATTCCCCACAGAACTGCCCTTAATTTGTAAAGCTTAGCAATGGACATCTGCCGCTGAAATAAGTTGTCTGCACAGATTTATTTTTCAGATAGAGGTTCCTGAGAAAGCTTTATTGTTTTTCCAGCAATCTCGTGAGAGGTATTATAGTAAGCACAGTATTTTTTTCTAATCTCTGTGAAAAACACTCTTCCCCCCAAAGTCAACAAAATATCAGGACATACTACTCTGCAAGGTATTTGCAAAGTCAGAGAAAGTACACATATTGTTGTATTCCTGTCTTTCATATAGAGGCTCACCATATTACTTTGTTTTCAGAAAAAGAGGCTTTCTAAAATTTCAATTTAGAACAGAGATTAAAAACTACAATTCGCCAATGTTCTTTAAATGAAAATGTCCTTAGTATCTATATTGAAAGAAACAAAGCTTAAACTGAAACATATGTATCTTTCTATCCAGAGCTTGCAAAAAGTCAATCAAAATTCAGCTTCATTATTCCCTAGTAATACAATGTCCAAACAAAATCAGGATCCCTCTTCTTGAATATCAAAGTAGAACGTTTAGTGACATTATACATAGCTTATCTATCATTAACAACATTAACAAAAAAATACCAACTGTTGCCTACTAATAACCATCTATCTTTGCTGGCCAGAAGACAAAGACACATAGGCTTTAGTTAAGCATACAGAAAGTATACCTACTTTTACAACTTTGATCTTTGAACTTGGCTGAAAGTGGCATAGTAATAACAATCATAAGAGCGTCTTGGTACTTTCTGGGTTTATATTACATGAAATGTGACTGTATGCTCCCCAGATGAGACAGGCTGCAACATCAATCATCTGGATGTGGCAGGGAGGCCCAGAGTAGGAATTAGAAAGCCATAAACAAACTAACGACTACATACTTCATAACTATCTCCAATGAAAGCTGCAGTTCCTCTCTCTTACTGATTACAGAGGGATCCCCAACGTTTTAGCGCTATGTACACTATATGTTGAACTTTTTGCATAAGGGTGCCATCCTCATTTCAAGACACAACAAATACATGAGAAAACACTGTTAATATTTGGAAATACAGTCTATTGGGGGGAAAATAAATTAGTTGATCCACAGTACTTAAACTGATATTAACGTATTCATATACTACGTAATTGCAGCTTCATACTTGCGCACCATTATTTGAAGTTTTCAAAAGGACCTGACAGCTTATCTGCTGCCTTGTTCTGCAATCAGGGGCTTATTTTGCTAGCAGCAGAATTATTTAGCAAAATGTCCCTAGAATGTGATTGCTATTAGATCACAAGGATCTTCCTCCTATCCAAATTACGTAGTACTAAAACCCAACCAACCAAACAAAAAATTCCAACAGCAAAGCAGAAGTGCAGAAGCAAAAAGCAGAATGCTCTATGCAATTTACAATACATGTTAATACTATACATGTTAGGATACTGTTCTAATTCATCTGTCAGTGCCCCAGATTCTCTGAGAAAAAGTGGTGAGGAAAGCCCAAGAATTAGATAAATAGGGGTTAAATTCTCAAGCCAACACTAGCAGAGAACTATCTTAAAAATCCCTGTTATTCAATTATTCCACACACTAATTCTGCATGGTGAAATGAATTGAGAACAGATACAAATGAATACAAATGCGTGAAGAGTTGTGAATACGCCATCTAACTTCAGATTCCCTGTTCAGTCAGTAGAGAGAGGCAGGATTTTACCACATGCTCTGAAGGATTCTGTGGAGGAACTTACCTCTCTCCATGCATTACCTACAAACCATGTTTCCTAAGTCATGGCTCCTAACCTGAGTTGTTTAACGTTAGGCTGTACAAATACGTATTTCAATTTTCCTGAAACTGAAAACATTAGTCTATATATTAATATTAGATTTATGAAT